GCTAAAAGGAGCAAATTGTAGCTAAAGGCTAAAAGGAGCAAATTGTAGCTAAAGGCTAAAAGGAGCAAATGGTAGCTAAAGGCTAAAAGGAATAAATGGTAGCTAAAGGCTAAAAGGAATAAATGGTAGCTAAAGGCTAAAAGGAATAAATGGTAGCTAAAGGCTAAAAGGAATAAATGGTAGCTAAAGGCTAAAATGAGCAAATGGTAGCTAAAGGCTAAAATGAGCAAATGGTAGCTGAATGCTTAAAGGAGCAAATGGTAGCTGAATGCTGAAAGGAGCAAATGGTAGCTGAATGCTAAAAGGAGCTAATGCTAACAGAATCACAGGATCTTGTGTGTTAGCTCTCCTGGTCCATATTTTCTCTCAGGTCTGGAGAYGATGAGGAAGTTCTGCTCCTAAAGCTGGAGATCTGGTGGGTTTTGTTAATGTGTGGGTTTCGGATGATTAGCAGCAGCTAAACATTTGCCTTTTCTTCGGCTCTGTTATTTTAGCTTCTCTAACAGAACCTGTCCTGAGTGCTGGCAGAAAAGAAAAGCCTTCTTTATGTTCAGGTTGGTGTTAATTGGTTTAACGAAGCGAAACCTTCAGTCGGGAACATTAAAACCTCACGAGTTCGGCTGCGTCTCTGTGTTTCCTCTGAGTGGAGGAGTGGAGGATGTTTCCATGGCGATCCTCTGTGGAGGAGAGCGATGACAGCAGCATCACTTTGTGCWGCAGGAATGTTGCTCTGCAGCCTTAAATCACACAGTTTACCTGCTGAGACACTTGAGTCACAGTGGATTAGGATTACAGAGCAGCAGAGTGGGGAAATGTTCCACACAGACGACATCCTGTGACGGCAGCTACGTTTTATCCTCTGTTAGCAGAATATCTCATCACCTACATGGAGGAACATCTACAGTTGATTAGAGTCCATCCCARTCAAGATGGCCGCCACTAAAATGGCTCCAAATCAGTCAGTTTGACAGATTGTGAGGTAATACCAGGTGTGGTAGTAGCTGAGAGTCTTCACATTCTGAGCTCTAACGCTAAACCAGACATGTCAAACTGTTGCTACGACTGAGCTCTGCTAACAAATAACTGAGCTCTACCTGGTGTTTCCTGCATAGMAACAGTGTTTTAACACGTCCTCTTATAAACACTGAAMAGTACTGTGTGTACGACTGAATACATGTGAAACAAATAAAACAGAAATAATATTGAAAGTAAAAGTAAGAGTTTTACTCACTGTCGAGGTGGGTAGCTGCTGTCGACCTCTGAACTCTGCCACTTTCCTACAGGGAATTYCAGCTTAAATMTACAACTTTTAAGTGGGAAATTCCCACTTCCCAGTACAACTGCATTGAAAGTAGCCAACAAAAATGGAGTGATTCAGTCCATCACAAGGACACACAGACAAATGAGACAAACAACCATTCACTCTCTCACATTCACTCTCTCACATTCACTCTCTCACATTCACTCTCTCACTCACACCTAGGGACGATTTAGAGTGATCAATGAACCTAACAGTCATGTTTTTGGTCTGTGGGAGGAAACYGGAGTACCCGGAGAAAACCCACGCATGCACRGAGAGAACATGYGAACTCTACCCAGAAAGGTCTCCGGTTGGGATTTGAGCCGGCAACCTTCTTGCCGAGAGGCATCAGCTCTACAAACTGAGCCACCGTGCCGCCATAAGAGCAGCTCCACCTGGTGGTGGGATGCCGTCA